GCTTTGTGACATGTTAAGATCTGAGTAGAAGGATTTTTCAGCATGATTGTTATTTACATAAACTGTATTTACCTCTTTGTAGTTTCACACAGAGATGGAGTATAATGATTAAATGAGTTAAGAAAAACTGGAACAGCAAAACTTTCATTAATATATATATATAATATAATATACATAAAAGGTGGGACCTGCGAATTAAGTTATATATATACATACATAAGAGGTAAGACCTGCAAATTTAAAGGCTGTCAGAGCCAAAAGGGTAGGGAGCCTTAAAAACTTTTAAAAAATAATTATAAATTAAACAATTTTTAGTTCAAGAACTCCCAGTCTGGGATTCAAACCAGGGCTATCCCCCCCCCATCTCTCCCCAAAGTCTAGTATGACACGAACTGAGCTAATGGCCTCCATTTGAATTTGTTTGCTACATGAAAATTATGGTTTTGTGTAATACCTGGATCTAAGGAATGGCAACTGACAAGGGCTAAATTTACAAATTTTCAAAGCACCAGCACAGTTGATCAAAAAGGTGAATAACAACATATGTACAGCTCTTTGTTCATTTGTACAATTATAATTATTTGTTTTAGAAAGATATGGTCTGAACTGACATGTATAAACATGCATGCTATTAATAACAATTTTTAAAAAATTAAAGATTAAATTGGTCACATTGTCAGATTGTCATCGTTCGTCTGTCACTTCAAATGGGATATCATTGTAATTCTAAATTCAGAAAGGTCTGTATCATCCTACTTTTCGTTCTCTATAAATACATGTATGTTTTGACAGAGTTACTACAGACCTCCCAAATCCTCCATGAATACAGTGAGTTTTCTTCAGAATCCTCATTAAAAAATCGAAAGTTTGGGGACAAAAATTTAGTTTCCAGAACCCCAGTAGATTCAGATTACTATACAAACCAATTGTGGCAAATGATGCATTTCAAATACACACACAATAGAAAAGTAAAGAAAAAAACAACTGATTTATACAAATCTGACAGCGATGGAAAATTTTCTCCTTTCCTGCTCCCTAACCTTAGTCCGTTCTCTGCTTTCGTCTCCACTTTGTTGCCCCCCCCCCCCCCCCTTAAAATATATTAAGTTCATAACTGACCTCTTTTTGCTGGGAACTTTTTTGTTATTCAGAGATTTTTCAAATACCGCAAGTGCACAGGCACAGCCAGTCACAGCAAATTAAACTATCCTGCATATTGGCACTGGCCGGCTCGCCATCACTTTTTGAAATTTTATTTCTCAAAGCTAACTCAACTTTTTACATTAAATTTTCCTGATGTACTTGCACTTATTTAGAAATTTGCTATGAGCATCTTTTGATAAAAGTTACAGTGCCATTGCCATTACAATCGGAAACTATTTTTCCACAATGTGACATCGATAATATCAATGGGTTTGTCTCAGTCAACAAGCTCCATGGCGGCTGCCATTTATTCTTCCACCATTTGTAAAAACACATTTGTATGCCAGGTAGGATAAATGATCTTGACAGCATTGCTCTCATTTCAAACTGTACTAGGGGGTTCTCGTGGCCTATAGGCTAAGGTGTTCATTCAAAGCCTCTCATTCAAAGGTCCCCGCTTCGAATCGGGTAGCGACCAAAAAAATTTTCTTTTCATATATTACCTTTTGCAGTTGTGAGCACCGTGAAACCTTCTCTTCATTTTTCTTTCTCTGTCAGTGTTGACAGGAAGCACATCCTTATGACCGATAAAACAAATCGAGGTGTGTTGTCTATCTTACACTTACAAACATCCTGCGAGACAGAGCCAGCACACTTAATCAAAGTATGTCCAGTCTTAAATTATGTACTTTCAAGTTGTTTACATCGAATGGCCTTTTCTACACAGAGGTCTTATCACTGTAATGCCATTTTTAATTTCTTTCTCTATCCATCTCTTATAACTTTTTTTATAGTTAGTGAACAACCGTCAACTGAAGATTGTGATGTATATGTGACATCTTGTGCACTGTGGAATTTTTCTTTTCACGTGACATGTGGGGTACATAATATAGGCCTATTTCAGCTGTCAAAAGACAAAGCGGAGCAAGGCAACGATATCATACATGATGCAATGTCCTCTTTATAACACATAGGCCTGTATACAATGTAACAATAATTTAAAATATACTTAAGAGTCCAAGTCTCAAAATGAAAGGAGAAAAATATAATGTCTCAAGACCGTTTAAGTTTTAATAGCAGATTCACACTAAAAGACCTTCCGCTTCCACTGCTTCAAGATACATACAGTTGGAGGGAAATCGAATGTGTGTATAGAGAAGTATTATAAAGAAGACAGAAAGCAAGGTAATGTTTTTTAAAAAGCAGAACGCCATTCTCCTAAGTTAGCAACTTTAAGAAAAATAAATTGATACTATTCTCACCCCGGGTGAGAATAACGACAGCCTACTACTATTCTCACCTGTTTTTTTCATTTTGGGCATCCTTAGGACCCCTGTCACTGAGCGGTCCAGGCGACAAAACTCGCCTCCCTCTCTCACTCCGCTGTGCCCGCGAGGCGACTACAGTCGCCAATGGGCGGGCCAGCTCTCGAGCACGGGAGGCGACTATTGTCGATTGGGGGAAAACCTTATCTTTTGAGTAAATAGAGTCACCTTTTGTTGCTACAGTATTAATTTATTGGTTCTGAAATGGAAAATTTACTCTTGAATGGTTTTCTTTAACCAATTAAAATTAAGAAAAAAATAAGCCTAGGGTCAAGGCACTGCGTTCTTTAAAAATAATCGTGGGTTCTGCTAGGGATAACAAATTAACCATGTTTTTTTGTATTGTAAACAAATGTAAAAAATTCTAACATTACAAAGACAAACTATTACTAGCATTTCAAATTTCATTTTAAACAGCTTTCAGTTAAGGCTATTATTTTAAAAAACTACTACTCTGGCAAGTGAATTCCTTTCTGAATTTAGAATATATTTAAAAACTTGTCCAGGGTTTTGATATTATTTAAAAGCCCAAGCGAGCATACTCTCAACTCAAGACTTTAAAAAAAGAAACAATAAAAATTCCTCACGGGAGCCTAGAAAATTTGGCCAGCACTCTGGTGCAGGTCACGAACGGACAATCTATCTTACAATTCACAAATTATTTTCTCTCATCCATTCTCAACACCAAGGTAGACCTAAAAATCCATTGCATTTGTCAAGCGCAATTTGCCGATCAACGCGATCTTAAGATGGTGCAGAACCATATGACGATCCGCAGAAAGCGCGGCCATCTTGAGATGGGCACGACGCGCCATCACACACAAACAAACGATTTTGCAAAATTCACAAACAAAACTCCGCAGAATTTATTATAATTAATTTTAAAAATTTCAACGACCAATATATGCAGTCAAAATATTAGACAAGTGACACTTGCGTCCTCCTGATTCTTTTTTGTTTTAAATATTTTAAATTAATCATAATAAATTCTGTGGAGTTTTATTTGTGAACTTTGCAAAATCGTTTGTTTGTGTGTGTGTGTGTGTGTGTGTGTGAGTGTGTGCGTGTGCGAGTGTGTGTATGTTGTTTTGTGTGTGCATGTGTGGTGTGAAGTGACTTTTATCTATCTTGGGTATAAATACAAAACGAAGTGACTATTCGGACTCGAGTCCGAATATGAAAAAATGTTATTCGGACTCTGATTCTTGTCCAGCATGACATCACTTCCGACTTCCTGTGACTCGTGACTCCGGCTTCCTGTCCTGCCTCACTCGTGACTCGCCTCAGGCTGGGTAGAGACCGGGATCACTTCGGGCAAAAATGGCGTTTTGTGCAGGAGCCGAGTTTTTATCTTATGATGAAATTGAGGCCGGCCTGAAAAGTTATAGCGCTTCTAATAAATGTTTATTTGTCAAGAGGTCATCAGAAGCAATTAAAGATGGCTCGTTAGCATGTGTCGGGGTCGGATGGGCGGCCTGCACACGTGTGGCTGTGTGCGTGTCGGGGAGGGGGGCACTATCGGTCCGGGCGTTGAACGTCGCATACGCGTCAGTCTTTTTCCCCCCGGCAACTGATCATTAAAAAAAAAAAAATTACAATAATAAGCTAGTCTTGATGTAGATCTACGTAATGAATTGTGCGCTGGTCTATGGAATCAAAAGTTGCCGTATGCTCAGCTCTACACAGCAACACAACTTTTTCTTGGTAAACAATCGAGATGACACAGGCTTGTGTATTTGAACGAATCAGTCTTTTTTCATATATATGTTGAAGATTAGCAGACCACCTGGCACCTGCATAGTAGCCTTACTATGCAGGTGCCAGGTGGTCTGCTAATCTTCAATTTTACCTTTTTCTACAACAAAGAAAGTGGGAAACATGGGGGGGGTGGAGGGGGGGGTATCAATGAGGCGGCGGGCATCGGATCGGCAGAAAAGGTGTGGGGGAAACTAAAAAATGGCAGAAACTTGAAAGCACTGAACGTTAGATCTATAGAACGAAGACACTTCCTTTTTTCCGGACCCGAGTCCGAATAACATTTTTTCATATTCAGACTCGAGTCCGAATAAGAATTTTTTTTATTCGGACTCGAGTCCGAATATGGAAAATTTTGGACTGGAGTCCGAATATAAAGACGTCCAATACAAAAACCTCTCTCTCCCCCTCTCTCTCTTTCTTTGCCACTCTCGCCTATATGTGTGTATATAATAATATGTTGTATGTGTTTGTGTGTGTTTCCAAGCGATCGGCAGATGGCGCAATTCTTGCTTGCTTTGCACAATCGAAGTGGCTAGCCGTACTTAAATACGGACTGAGAGTCTAGCCGTACTTAGATCTAGGTTTGGCCCTATCGACTCAAGCCTGTTAAGTACACAGGTCTCATTAGATCTAGATCTAGTAATTATTCAGGTTCAAATACATGCAAGTCAGTAAGGCACCTTTTGGTTTTGTCTGAAATACAAATACTTTAGGCATTGCAAACTAAAAATTTCATTTACAATTCAGCCATCAATATTAAGTACGGCTAGACTGACAGTCTAGCCGTCCTTAAGTACGGCTAGCCTGGCTGTCTAGCCGTACTTAAGTACGGCTAGACTGCAAGTCTAGCCGTACTTATCTTAGGCCCTATCTATTGGCATTAGAAAACAGGAGGTTTAAAATACATGCACTGTCATTAAGGCACCTGGTTTCGTCTCAAATACAAATACTTTAGGTACTGCACACTAAAAATGTATATTTACAATTCAGTAGGCCTATTTTTTTTTAAATGGTCAGTCTAGCCATCATTAAGAATAGTACGGCTAGACTGGCCAGTCTAGCAGTCATTATTAAGTACGGCTAGCCTCTTCCTTGCACAATCTTAAGATCGCGCAGCTCTATTCATTTTCGGAAATAATCCGTAGATGGCGCGCTTTTTGCGGATCGTCATATGGTTCTGCGCCATCTTAAGATCGCGCTGATTGGCAAATGGCGCTTGACACGTTCACAGACCAGGTGAGGGTGAGAATAAAATTTATTTTTTGTTCACCCTGGGTGAGAATAACGACAGCCCGAATTAAACCTACCCTGTATGGCTGTTGATCTATAGTTTGTTCAGTGGACCATGTCACGGTAACGGTCACCTGAATCATCTCATTAAACAGCAAATTCTATCAGCATCATCCACAAGACAAGCAACATAAGTAAGTAAATTTAGTCTACCGCTAGATTCTAGTCTTAGATCTACCCCAGTCCCAGTTCCCAATTCCTGTTCTTAAAGCAATCGATTCATTTCTCAGAAGCACCAAAATCTTGATAATCAATACAATAACTTCGTTACAAAACCATTACCTGTAATGTAGTGATGTGCTTGTCATTGAACTTGTTTTCCACGTATCTGAGCACAAGGGAGGTTTTACCTACACAACCCTCCCCTAACAAAACAACTTTGAAATTGAAGTTTCGGCCCCCTCCAGCACCACCGGCCGCGGCCATCGTTAGCTTAGTAGTTTAAAAGTATGATGTATTCGATCCTCCAATAAAGCGGTCACTTGTTCCTCTCAATGAAACAGCATTTCACGAGCTGATCACGATGAAAACAATCAGTCGACACAGAAGTTAAAAAGGGGACGTACATGGACGCACAAAATGTCAGAACTTCCTATTCCTATTTTAGTCTGTGCAATACGTCACCGATCACGAGTATATCGCTTATAAACTGCACAATCAATAATATAGAGCATTATTACATTAATTCGATTTAAAGATCAATTATGACTAATACAGTAGTTTTAAATTAATATGGATTACTGTTTTTACTTTTAACAGACTGTTTTGATGTTTAAGATATTATATATTATTATAAAAGGGGTAAGCTAATATCAGAAATCCGAAACCGGAAGTCGAACCTCAATGATTTGTTTCTCATATCAAAACATTTCAGTGTTCAGTGATTCAGAGTCAGATAGATCTACGTGTGAAACGACAAACCTGAGTTCTGTTGCAATCAAGCAACATGGCTTTTCAGAATCAGGTACCTGAGACTTCAATCGAGTAGTCTATGTTAAAATGTCGTTTCTGCTGTGAAGACTCAAGTTTATTTCTTAGGTTACTGTTTTGAGTGTGCTGGGACTGGGACTAACTACCGAGCGAACAGGATAGAGAGACCCCGCTCACGGCTCAGTTGGAGTAGGTTAGGCAGGCGATTCCAGTCCTAGATCTAGGCTAAAAGCTCTGGAAGCATCTTTTCTAGAATGATATAGATCTAGATCTAGATTTTGATCTATAGTTTATGAGTCAAGATACAGATCTTAATAGGCTTACATACTGATAGGGAATAAGCACCAGGCCCAGACGCTGCACAGGACTCTGGAGGGAAGATTCTTCTCTGTTTGTTGTCTATTGTCTATTTTTTCTAGATCTAGAATCTGGCTGGAGTCTCTTTTACCTAGATCTATCTAGAATCTACACTCACATAGCTAGACCTAGATCTAGATCCTGTCCTAGACATCTAAAGATTAAACAATGGAAGAGGCTAGCTGTACCTAATGACGGCTAGACTGCTAGGTTTAAGTACGGCTAGACTGGTTGGCTAGCCGTACTTAACTCTTGTCCTGCGTCTGTGCTGAGATGTGTATCTTATCAGCAACTGATTACGTCGGACGTTCCGGACAGGCCGCCGGGGTCACTCAGTGTGTACTGTTGGTGTGCAGCATGCGCGCGCCTGGAAACATGTGTTTTTGACATGAATACCGTGGGAGTGTGTTAATCGATGGTGAAAATAACGCTCTATCCTATCTTTCATAGCTTTCTATTATAAAGTGTTACAAACACATGAAAAAACCCCTCTCACAAGCTGTAGACATTATGAGTAGTTACGCCCATTCGAGTAATCTTTCTGGACGCTCTTGTTTTATGAAATGACCTGAGGTTCCAAAGGGGATAATATCTATAGGTCAATTTCCAAATGTTTTGCACTCAAATTGTTCTTTGTACCCGCACAATGGTATTCAAAACTATCAAACAAGCCTATTTTTTAAGGTAGTATCATTCCATTCAAAAATCAAGCTCATTTGAAAGATTTTGTATAGATCTAGAGAAAAATGGAGGTCTTGTTTCCTGATCCTTTCGAGCTCCTCATGTCTAAGTGGGTCGATTTCTTCTATAATTTCATTTGACGAACATCTAGAGTTACCAACTTGCCATGTTTTGAATGAGACGTATGCCTCGAATACGACTGACGCACACACACTTGACCTGCGTGAATGGGGATCCGTCTCGGGACCCGAATTTCACGTAAGATGATACGTGTGTGCTGAGCAAGGGGCTACACTGATTCGGGACCAGAACGTAGGCGAGGTGCCGAAATAGGCTTATCGGGCGACATAAACCTGGCCCCCGCAGGATGAGGGTTAAGTGCGGCTAGACAGCTGGGCTAGCCGTACTTATTTTTAATATATGATGGCTAGACTGACCAAAACAAAAAAAATAGGCCTACTGAATTGGAAATAAATTTTTAGTTTGCAGTACCTAAAGTATATGAGCCATTGCCAAAACGTGGGGAAAAACACATACATCTCACATTAGTGTGCATAAAATGTGATGCATTTGTGTATTTATTCCTCCAAAACATATGTTAAATATAGGAGATATGTAGAACCTGCATTAGCAGTTTCAGACCCAGTGTCAGCTTTACAATCTTGAGTTTGTAGATTTTTTGCCAAAAATGTTAGTTTTTTTGTGATTCCTGGACTGTCATTTTGAGCACACCAATGCAAACTTCCAAGAATGTCCAAAATTTAGTATTTTTGGGTGTGTTTTTTTTTAAACCTGTGCTTTGATTCTTTGCTATTTGTGATCGAGAAAGGTTCACTTGATCAAGAAATCGGTTTATTTGTTTGCAAATAAACGAATAATTCGGATCACTTTTGTGCGTCAGTGGTGTCGTCACGGACTAGGTGTTTCAGAAAACACCATTATTTTTCAGTAGAATCACCACAGCTGGTTAAATCTTTTTGCTTTTCGTCGTTAATTCAATACTTCAAAAGCAGCGATGCGCGAAAGGAACATCGGGTTCCTAGATCTACGATTTCGGTCGGCTGTTTAACATTCGCCCTTATTGGTGTCACTTTGCGACGTACCGAAAGTCCGAATTTTAGCCTACTTTTGTTTTGAACGGATCATCAATAGTGCCCGGATATAATTGTTTTCTTGAGTGACTTCCCCTTACCCGCTTCCCCAGAATAGCGGAAGCAACGGGGGAAAGAGAAAAACGAAAGTAGTCATTGCCGTCACCCTCCGGTTACGCACAAGAAAATAATAATTACAGAAAAACTATAACACACAGCAAAATGAAATTAAACATGTGGAAAGACAAATGGTGGTGGAAGTAATGATAATGCTGTAGTGGTGATTGAAAGAGCACGAGTTGTCGGTTACCGTATACTTAGACACTGTCATTGGGTAGATCTAATGAGAGTGCAGTCTTTTTACTTTTGACACAATTACACTGTCCTTGTAGGCAATTCTAGGTCTAATTCCGGTTTTGCGTAAAAAAACCCGACGACAGTTTTATATATATATATATATATGTGTGTGTGTTTGTAACCTCCTTACACTCACACTCACTTACAAGCTGAGTTCGAATAAATAAAACATTTTTTTCGGACCCGAGTCCGAATAGATCAAACCCATATATTTGAGTCCGAATAGATTTTTAAAATGATATTCGGACTCGAGTCTGAAGAGAGCTGGCCTTCCAGAAATCTTGACTTACAGCAAAAGAGGGCATTGCCCTACCCAAGTTTGGTTTCAATAGTGTTTGTATTTGTTTAGTTATAGAGAAAACTCTCCTGGTCTTTTAAAGAAGCTGAACAATGGGCAAAAGCTTTACACTTTCGATTTTCTCAAAACAGCATTTTTCGGGATAGCCCCCTTGTGCCGAAAAGCGACCAATTTGCAATGGATATAAATTAAAGTTAAAATTCATGAAAAGCAAGATAAAAATTATTGTTCAAGAAAAAATGTTTCGGAAAACTGAACAAGAGACAGATCCATGAGTAAAAAAATACCGCCTTCTATTCTATCATAGTGTAAATTATAGGCTGTATTTTCTTTTTCATTAATGCTTGTCGTGCCATGATGGTACTCTCTCTAGACTCTACAGCGTCCACTTCTCCTGCCCTTCTGCAGTCTTCACCACAATTTCACCATTTCTTAAAGGTTTTTTTTTCCTTTTTGATAATATTAAATATTCAAGTATCAAGCACAGATTCAAAGAAATTGCTTTAGCAGAGCCTACTGTACTTATGAGAATGAATGAAACAACACTGCTTGCTGAAACTGATGCTAGTTCTAGTACTAAAGACTGAGGTGAAATTGGCTCTCTCAAGTTACAAATGATCATGTAGGCCAAATATATAATGGCTTGATTTTTATTATTATGCCATCAATGATATGGACACAGTTCTTTATCTATCTTGAAATTTTTATCACTTATTAAGTCTTAAGTAAGATGTTATATATTGTGTTACTCAGAGGCGCCACATCATAACATGAATGATTGTATGTTGCCTTTAAAAATTGAATATATATGCATTCGTTATACTTTATTTCTGCTCCTTGGTACAGTGGTTCATTCTTGCTTTCAAATGACTTGAGTATTAAAGGGAGGAATGCTTGAAGAAGTCAGAAGTTTTAGTTTTAGTGAACTTTGTACTTAAAAAAGGAAGATCTGAGTGTGTACATTGTGTACCGCATTGTATTCTTTCTTTTGTTTTGTCATTACGTGTAACGGAGGATTAGTTAGGTTCCATTAAATTCTTTTCATTTCATATCAGGTTAGTTTTTTGGTTGTTGTTTCAACAGTGCTGTTAAATTCTGAGATGGGATGAATTTTTGATCGAACGACATAAAAAATATATGTTGATCAAGCATTTACTGCTGTACTACCACTCTTCTTGATTTCATCTTATTGCTGATCAGTCAATGCTTACTTTAGGTGAAAAAGTAACATGACATGCAAAACTATTGAAGGAACATTTTATGATTTCTAAGTGTATTGAATCAAAGTTTAAGTGATTTCATTTTTTTACTTTTGTGTTGGGGAAAAAATATGTCACTTCCTTTCTTTTGTTCTGCGCCATCTTGTAACACTAACTGTTCTAAGCTTTTGACCAATTTTTTATAATAACGAGTGGTGATTGTTAAAACAAAACAAGCCTCAACAGATTTTTATGGGGGTTGATTCAAACCAGAATACGAGTAAAAAGGTTAGAGAATTGACATGTGTTTGGTGTATCATGTCTCATTGGCATGTGTACTAAGTTACTGTGTAACCTATCTTATTTCTAATTTATCTCTAAGAAATTCAATTTCACCAAAAAAGAAAAATTGTTATTTTAAAATGGTTTGTAGAATGACAGAGAACATATTTGTTACGTGAATTTCTGGTTAGTATTTGAAAATGTAAACAAACAAGTCTCCATTCCATTAAAAAAGATTCTCTAAACTTTATGGAGGTTGTTTATCTTGTGAACTAAAAAGGTAAAAGTTATTGAGTGGTTTGGGTTTTTTTTTAAATACACTCTATTCCATATATCTCATTTGCAAATTTGACCTATCATTGATATCTTTGGGGGTTAAAAACAATATATTTTTACCATATAAGCACTAGACTCTAAAGAATGAAATAAAGATTTATTGATGTGTATATTTCATGGTATGTATATATATTATATGTCATTTGAGTCCCAATGTTCTGCTTTTGTGAGTTTTAAATTCTAGTATCAACCTTTGTTTATTTAAGAATGTAATCAAGATGGCAAACAGGTGGACATGATCAGGGCAAACTGCAACTCTGATTTTAGTAAAAAGAATATATTTTGCCACTTAATATTTTCCTTTTTCACCAAACTCAAATTATATTTTTTACCGTCAAAAAGGGTCGAATTTTTAAACAAAATATTTTGTTAAATGGGTTGGCACTGCTGCTTTGCTAAAAATAAAACGACTGTAAATTTCCGTTCATGATGTGGATTTCTCCTCTTGTTTTTGTCTAGGTCTTGTTTGCCAAAGACAGTGTGTACATACACATCAATGTTCAGGATGCCAAAGACAAAGATGCTCACATTGCTGGAAGGGTTTTCTTCTTGAAGAAGGTATTGCCTATTGTTCTATTTTTGAATGCCTTCCCTTATGTTCTTCTAGAATGTTTACTTTTATGAAAAGAATTCCCACATGTGTGTATGACCCGTAATAATATTTGCTGTCTTGTGATTTTTGTCTACCAGCTTTTTAAAAAAAAATTTATTGTGTCACCAAAATGGTACAGGACCATGTTCATGTCTCTTTCCAGAAAGTAGTAAGGTTTGAAATGGAAAATCTTTGGTTAATTTTTACTTTCACTCCCGCACACAGATGCACTGCTTTTGGGGTCAAACTGCAGTACTGTTTGCTGCAGATCACACATTAAGCCACTAAAACTGTCGCAAATCAATTATTTTCAAGAGAATTTCAAATCTAACTGTAAAAATCAAATTAAAACCCCCCAGATTTTCTTTTGCCACAGGGGGCAGGCCCCCCCTGGAACCCCCCGATTGGTCCAAAGCATGTCTATCTCTATTAAGAACAATCAAATATTTCTAAAACTAATAATTTGGGACGGAAATGAAGTTGATATTCGTGTTCAGGGCGTCAATATTTAGTAGAAAATGGACAACTGATAGCTAAGTGTGAGATGGAAGGGAAGGTAAAAAAATACCAAATCTTTCATCAATCATGTTGTGTGCCACTAAATATGCATTTATTGCTGCTGTAAGCTGAGTGGAGCCTTTGACCCTCTGTATAATAGGAATAAATGAGTTTTTTAGAATATAAAGAAATGAACACTATTCTTTATTGGGCTAATTTAAGTGCTATTTATGCATTTTAAAGCTTTACACTTTGCACTTAAAAAGCATCAGAATCCTGAACTTGATTGACTTTAAAAAGTTGAAGGTCCAATATCTGTTGCTCTTTTAGAATTTTTTTTTTCTGTCTTGATCTGCCAGAGAACTAGTCCTCTGTTTTAAAATATTACAAAGTTCTGGGTTAATTAGGTCTTTGAACATGTGAAAGTGTACTTGTGATTAACTCATACTCAAGTTTGCCTCATGACTTACAGCATTATGGTTGTTAAATGTTACTTTAAAAAAAATTTGACATTGTATATTCTCCCAGCCCGAAGGCTACTTCATTGAATGGAAAGCAGAGGAGGTCTTGAGTCTGGAAACACAGAATGAAGAATGGGATGTGATTGGATCAGTGGGTTACAAAAATGACAGAGATGCTGATTCTGGTAAGCCCATCACAATATGATTGTATGTCTTATTTGGATATGTTATTATGTTTCTAAGGATTTTACATTAGGTTGCGCCATAATTAAATTGAAGTCCATCTGCTACTACCTTATCAAAGTCAGCTGGTGGTGTAGTCATGGGCAAGATTGAAGACTACTAGTTTCTAATTTCAAAAGTAATGATTCTTTGCAAATGACCATATATATTTTTTTTAATGTGCATGTTTTGCTAAGGGGGAGGGTTTTTTTTCAAGATATGCATGAACCTTTTTACGCTAGAATCAGATTTGTACTCATTGTCTTCTGAAATTTACTTTCAGTCACGATGAATGCCAAAATGGATGCAAGGCGGAAATACAATATCAGCTTTGACATACTGGACCTGAAGAGCTTCAAGCGTAGTGCCCCAAATCATGGATGGGCTTACATTATATTCATTCTCAAGGATGGAAGTACTTTCCCTCCCTTGCACTTTCACAATGGTGGCTCCAAAGCATTACTTAAAGAATTGGAGAATTTCATTCACATCCGCAGGTATGCATCAGGTTTATATCTGTTGGTATGTCTATTGTATTAGTTAATTATATTTTGCTATCTTTTAGTTTTATCCAATTTGAAATTTTTGACCTTTATCTGCTTTTATAAATTATAACAAAAGATTATAGGATTTAAAAGAGCTCCCTCTTCCAATTCCCTTTTACGAGTTAGATAGGGGAGGAACAGAGCAACTGCAGCAGACTTGCCTTCTTCTATGACAGGCACCAAGCAGAACAATAGCCCTCTGGCTACTGGTTTGAAAACAAGTAAAAGGGATTTACGAGGTATCGTGGGGAGATCAGGCACTCGTCAAAACAATGAAATTGAAGAAACATGGCATTTTTTCGCCAGATTGGAAATTTTTATTTAATTTTTCGTTTTTGGCTCAACACCCTTTATGTTCATATCAAAACACACATTTCCATGTGAATTCGACTGAAAAACATTAAAATAAATTTTTAAAATTTGTAATTTTTCAGTTTTCAAGGACTCTCAATCTATTGAAGTTACCAAATTTTGGCAGCCATTTTCTCACTAATTTTACCACTGAAACCAGGCGATCCCACCTTCTTCAATCGCTAATATCTCAACTTCACTCAAGATAGATGTATATTTTTAAATTTTAAAGCAAGGCGAATGAATAAACTTGCAGACGATTGCCAATAACTCAACAGGCCCAAAAATCGATGAGCGCCTGGTTCCACCACGTTGTGACACATTTGTGATACAAGTTGTGTTTTCCCTTTGGTAAAAGCTGTCAGTTGTCTAGTGGTTAGGCTCCTGTACTCGGAATCATAAGGTTGCGGCTTTAGGAGTTTTGAGGCTCAGTTCAGCCTGGCACTGTGGCATTGCGTCCTTGAGAAAGACACTTTACATAGTTTCCTCACTTTATAAACAGGTGAATGGGTATTCTGCCCCAAACAGAGAAAGATCATGTCAGTATGGTAGTGTTTTAGTATCTGTAAAATGGCAGCTTGCACTGTTTTCTTCCCAGAAAGTTGGGATTGTTTCAGAATGCTATCAAGTCTGCCGGGGTAATGATATAGATTGTAAAGCTCATAAAGATAGCTGTTGAGCGGGATTATGTGCTCTATACAAATGCTATTTATAATTAATTATTTTTACTGCATGGTCCAGTTTGAGATGTCAGTGCACCAGGGTGACGTATAATTTTGCCGTGAAACTTTGCTAACAATTTGTGATACATTTTTTTGAAAAAATGGTTTATTGATTCATTTCAACAATATCTTTTCTTCTGTGTTCCATCTTATGTTATTCTATCTCTGGACCAGATTCATTGCTAATGGGACTGTTCAGTTTCCTTGCTTATGATTTTCACCAGCCTTTTTTCTTTTCTTGACTTCCTTTTATTTATTTTTTTTTTGTGGTTCACTCTCCCCACTCTTTCTTTCTTTGTCTTGTTGTTGTCTTTACTTTCCAGTTTTTGTTGTGTATGTGTGTTCAACTCTTTCTGTTTATTGATTGAAGTTGGATTTTTGGTTTTGAAGATTTCCCTGGTGTGACATTCTGCCTACAGGTCACCTAATGACCCTCGCCTGTTCATCGTGAATGACCATGACCCAGAGATGTTGTCCAAATCTTTCAATGAGCTGGCGATCTTCTCCGATTCTTCTGGTGCTTTGGTACAGGTGAGACAAGCAAAACATTTCACCGAGTCCTTCTATGCAAACAGGTTTTTGTGTATGATATAGGCACTCATTGTAAGATATTTATGACTTTTCGTTTATCATGGGATCTGTCTTTTCATGAAGTAGTACTACGTTTGAGCATGCAAGGTGTATACTTGTGTATGTCTGTGTGTTTTAATTAAAATCAATTTTACTATATGTTTGACCTTGTATGTCTTGTCCGTCCTGATATGTATGCCTGTCACGAGGGAAAGAATTTGTGAAGAGGACATATTGAACTCAGTGCTTTACCACAACAAAGATCAGGGACTTTCATGAAGTCCTCCTTCAGGAAATTCCCTTACCAAATCATTGAAGAAAAAATATCTACAGTAATTCTTTAGATGGGTTATTACTCCTAGCATAAAGATTTTTAGATGTTTTGAATTCAAGTGCGGAAGATTCCCACCGAGATTCCAGCTTTCATTGCTGTACAAATGTGAGATGGTATGCTTGTATGTCAGACCTGCCATATGATTTGAAATTTAGTTCTGGCTGCACACTTAAATTTTTCTACTTGTGGGTTTTTTTATGAAAATTATTTCAGTGACTTATAGTCGTAATATGGACATTTTATTTTCTGTTTTCACCACTGCTCATGTGGAAATTATCTCTTCTTCTGTCGTTTCATACTGTGTTTTAGAGTCAACTCAAAGAATATCCACAATAGTTGTTGTTGCTGGCCACAGTTGGTCTTTGGCCAATTTGCTGAGGTTCAAAGTTTGAATCAGATACCGGGTCTGGGGTTGTTGTTTTTTTTACATCCTTCCCATCATCAAGATTCTCTTCTCATTCCGGCATCCTGACTAGGGACCAAATGCTTTATCAGTAAAATAAGCTAATTTGTGTCTTGTTTGGCGAAACCATCATCATTGTTTCATGTTTATGGCTGGGTTTTTTTACTGCTTCTTTCTCTCTGCAAATGTATGTCTTTGCAGTGTATGTAGACACAGTAGTGTGGAAGAATGAAAATATGTAGTTTTGTTCAAATGCAACACTGGCATTTGTGTTGCAAAATTTGTTGCTGCTAAGAATGTCCTGTATTTGTTGAGTGTGCACCAAGGGGATCTGACTGTGCGGTTCTTGGAGGTCCTGTAGACCTGGAGCGATTGAAATGTGTTGATACTCTTTTGAGAAGTGATATATATATACATAATCATTCTTTTGCAAGATTTTTTAGGTGTATAGTTTTCAAATGGGTAAAATGCATGCCAAAGATATGAGTTTGAATCCCAAGCTGGGAAGCCTGTTCCATCCACTGTCTTTATCTTTCTGGTGGAATGTTTTATCTTGATCAGTTGAAAATGGCCTTGATTGCAGGGTCACAGCAGCACACTTTCATAGTTGATCTACATTGTGCAGAGGAGGGGCATAAAACATTTAACCCTCTCCGTACGCCCTGGGGTCATTTTGTACCCCCGGGGTTGTATTCTTCACGTTTTAGAATACTTCTAGTATGAAGATCTCTTTGACACTTTCAGTTTTTCTCAAAAAATCATTTTAACAGACTGCTATACAAAGCGTACAGATCGGATTAACGAGTAAATTTCCTCTTTGAAAGTGGTGGCACAGAGTTCCCCACTTTGTATGGATACGATAGTAAAACACCACGTACGGATAGGGTTAATATCCAGACTGTTATATTGAGTGATGTTCAAGGTGTGAAAACTAATTCTATTTTTATTGCTGACGGTGATGGTAAACAATTTTTATGAGATTAGAACGTATGGGCGAAGGGATGCAAGAGTTTTGTAGGTGGCATTGTCTTATTGACTCTTTTGTTTGAAAGTGTAAGAATGCTTGAAAAGACCTTATTTGAGTTATTTCATCTTGACTGGCTTTACTTGGAGTATTCTTTTGAGAGATTCCTTATTGTCATCATTTGTTCTTTGGTCATTCAGGGTTTTCTCATTTTAAAAAAACACTCTAAAAAAAAAAACCAACTGGTATATTCACCGCTGTCATAAAATAGTAAATTGGTGCAAGATGTTGTCATGAAACTTTTTTCACGTAATACCTTATCTTCTATTCAATGTCTATTTTGTTCTCAGAATTTCATCAAAGACTCTGACAGAGGGTTACATAAGGCAAGGACACTCTTTGTTTTGTATATTAGCTGTTGGACTCCAACAGCTCAAAATGAGACTTAGGTGGTGGGATTTAAATCCAAGAAATTAGTCAAGGAAGACAATTGAGACAAACAGTCCTTGAAGTGTTTTTAAGACAAAAACTTTGTCATCATGATTTCAGAGTTAGTTTTATCAGAAAATTGTTCTTTTTCGATGTAATGGTAGTGTTTGTAGTGAATAATCATACACATCTAACCTTTGCCCTTTGCCTGCTTATCCGATGTAGTGGTTAGGCAGTTTGCTGGTGCATGCAGGGAAGTCTATTTCATTGTGTATCTCCATCTTTTTGTTGCTATGCCATCACCACCTCTGCCCAGGTTGGCCCTGACAGGTAGAGTTGGAGAAGCATGCCTCTTAAGTGATTTGAAATGTGTTAATGGGGGCGTAAAATATTTCTTATTGTTCTGGCGTCTTCTGACTCTGGGCTGAATGTAGGCACAAGCTCCTTACTGGGGTGGACAGGGGTTTGTTGAGCTGCACTGACCCCAATTACAAGTGCTGTGTGGTGTGGCCTTTGTTCTCCAAATTAAAAAATCTACTGACTCTACTAAGAAATGTCTTTATCGAAGTATTCTCAGACTGATTAGACAAAACAAGCCTTTCCCATTTGTATGGAAGTCTTGAATACCTGCAAATCAAAATTTTAATTCTAAAATTCTTACTGTTGGCTCTTTTGTTTCTGTCTATCTTTCTCCGGTAGTGTTATTTAACTTTTCAAGACTAATACTCCTCGTCGTAAATGATTACATCTTCATTCATGTTTTCCCTCTACGGATACAGTGATTATTGTCATTCTCTCTTTTTTTAAATCTCACTAAGACATTACATTTTTTTCCATATAACTATATGTGATAATTTTGGGGTTTAAAAAAAAATCAATATGGATTTAATCTCCCCTATTTCCCTATGTATGACACTCCCTCCCCCCCCCCCCCCCCCTTCCCCCCTTCCACTCCTCAAGGCAGGGCAGTAGTGGAATGGTTAGGGGTCTCTGTCTGCTGTATGAATGTTGCGGTAAAAAGTACCAGTGCACTCATTGTCGTTTTAAGCCCCAGCAGTTGAAAATAAACACATAACAGGAACTTAAATCTCCCATTACCCATCAAACCCCAAGGATTCCTGTTTGGTGCTGCGGCACCTCATTGAGACTTAGCTGAGTTTTCCAGTAGAAACAGGATCAGTGTCGTCATAGTCTCATTTTGAGGTGTTGAGAGACAATTTTCTTTACCTGTTATCAGCTTTGACTTAGAAAGTTGTTCTGTTAGTGTTGTGCTTTCAGGCTGTTTGGTCATATTCCTCTGCGGCAGATGTGGCAGATTGTGTGTGTGTGTGTGTGTTTACACTCTCGTTAGCGGGTGCTCTGGTGGTATTTGCTCCTTCTTTCCTATAAAAAAAAAAGTATCGTCCTTCTCTTTCCTCCTCCTTTTTTATGTTTGTTACTCTTTTGTAACTCATAATCTTCGGCACTTACATGACCTTCTTGTGTTGCAAGTGCTGTGAAACTCTCACTAAAACTAAAAAGCTGATTTTTGTGAAGTTGTACCCTGGGGATATTTTTTTCCTTTGCTTACTTTTTGTAGTTTCCGTCTGCCGTTTGTGTGTTCTCCATCACACTTTGACTTTGTTATTGTGCTGATGTAGGCTAGAGAAGTGGAAGTTTCACATTTTGTCCATTTTCTTTCACTCTCTTCTTGAGATTTTTCACTCGTTCTGTCATCGTGAGCTATGTTTTTCACTTATTATCTACGTTCAGACATACACCGGTCTGTATTGTACTGTTTAAGTTTTATTGTGTGCTGTGTTTATTCAATGGTTTGTAGCTTTGTGGGCTTTCTGCTACAGTTGCTCATTGTACATTGTGCCAGTGTCTTGTTAACCCTAACATGCTTTAAGGGCCAGGCTTAATCTTAAGTTTGAAATCTGATATATTGACAGCTTGGCAGGCTCAACGATACAGTTGCTCATAACAACTGGTGAATTCAGTAAATATTTGTGATATATTATGTGAGGCATTGTGATGAAATCAGGCATTCGTCAAAATAATTAAATAAAAAAGAACGGCATGTTTCCACCGGTTTGGCAATTTTTATCAATGTTTTTTATTCTAGCACTCTTTATATGTCCATGTAAAAGCGCATTAATGTGTGTATTTTACCTAAAGACATTGATTTAACGCACACAAAATGTAAATTTTCAGTTTCCATTTACTCTTAAGCTACGGAAGTCACCAAACTTTGGCGGCCATTTCCTCGCTAATTTTGCCCCTGAAACCAGCGACCCCACCTCCTTCAATTGTAAACATCTTGACTTCTATTCAAGATTGATGGACACTTTTTAAAATCTAAATAAAGACAAATAACAAGCTTTAAGATGATGCCAATAACTCTACATGCCCAAAAATTGACGAGCACTTGATTCCACTGCGTCGTGACAGATATGTTTATTCAGCTTTGCAAATGCAGTTGTTTTTTTTTCTTGAAATGATAATTAACTATGAGCGAATAAAGGTTTTCATAAAGTATAAGGTTGGAATTTGAACTGTAAAAGTGCAGTGCATAGTGATCGCATATGCTAAATCTGAGAAGAATGTCTTTCCTTGAATCTATGGTAAATATATCTCTGTGTCAAATTTCGCTTTACGTCAGGGTAATCAGCCAGTGAATTTTTAAATCAGCAACATGCATCAATCAGCATTTCACTCCCATCCTTCTGAAGCTGAAAAATAACATTTATGTTTTTTTAATGGCAAAGGCAAAGACGACTCAATATAGTAAGGTTGTTTTTTTTACTGGTGTATTCTTTAGATCTATTTACAAGTAGTTTTTGCTGATGTATGAATTGTAACCTATCACAGGATTTTGCGAGTAGTTCTTACTAGCTTCTTTTCAAATACATGGATGATGAAATAGACAAACAAATTTATTTTTATTTAACGTAGGAAGATGAAGAATAGAATCTTTTTTGCATTCTCTCTTCTTTCTTTTTTCCCCCATTTCTCACTATCCTCTTTGTTTTTATATATATTTTCGTTGGATTATTAATCTTGTTCTTTTGAGGTAATGATTCATAAATATTGTTTTTGCTGTGAAAATACTTCCTTCAAGTATTTATTGTCTTTATTCATTCAGACCCCCTTCCCCACAGATGTCGGTTTATGTTTTGTAATGGCTGGACTCTTGCATGTAAATAATATGAGTTGGATTCCTGGCTATAAAATGTATGATCTTTTTGACATTTTACTTGTCCTTTCTCGTCGACCTTGTCAAAGGGCTCTCAACTAGCATTTAGTGACTGACTGATTAAAAAGGAAATTATAGTGACTTTTCTGTACTTGTGGGTGATTGGGAAGTGTTATGATGTGATCTCTTCCTTCTGCTTCTTTTCAGTGTTACTGTTGTCCCTTTTTTTGTTGTTAGTAAAATGTGACTATCACAATGCAGTTGTGCTATAAAAAAAGCTCCTCAACATTTTCTTTATTTGACCAGTTTATCAAGTAGATGTCATTTTTTTAATATTGTGAAATACTTCAATGATTGGAAAAAACCCAGGATGGAGAGAGGTTTTCTTGTAACAATGAAGTGACAGTGATAATATTCCTCTGATAAGAGATAATATCTCATTGTGCAAATTTGATGGGAGCCATAAGTGCCTGGTCTCCATATCAGTGTCGCGATTTTGTTTTCTTTAACAATTTGGAGTCACACAGCCAGCAGTAAATGATACATTTCCAAAACAGCAAGAACAGACAGATATAGAAATTCATTCGTACCAACTGCAGTAAGGTTACTGAACACACAGTGCTACAAATGAAACAGAGAGAGAGAGAGAGAGAATATTTTACGGAGCGGTTGTCCCAGCACGTGAGACATGTATTTACTAATGTCCTGTCTTGTTGTGCGTATGCGTGAGTGCATGAATTTCTCTCTGCGAGGTGAATAAAGATTTTCATTGCTAGTACAAAATACCCCATCTGGTCGCCCAGCCAGGAGAGCGACTGCAACTGACTTCTTGGGTCTGGCACAGAAATGCGCCAGGTGACCGGAACGGATAATTTTCACTGGCGCATTATTGCGCCAAGTGACAGCAAAGTTTTAAAAAATGTTTGTGTCAATATGTTTCTGCCCATAAAAAAATTAAATACTTTCTAAATGCTAGGCTCTGTGGTGTAATGGTTTGGCCTTTTGTATTGTACCCTAAAAAGATGTGAGTTTGATTCGCTCAATGGGAAGATATTGTGTTAAGTCGGTGTGGGTGGAGGCTAACTGTCTCCTTCCTAAGAGATCTGCATTGTGTGGATGAATGTGTGAAATGATAATAGTCGAGAAAGAAGTAGACCAGAAAAGACCACCCTCGTTTATCCCTTGCCAAACTAGGGTTTTTATTTTGTACTTTCAGAGCGTGCACGACTATTTGGCATTAGAAAGCCAGACTACGACCAGGGGTGGTTGGTGGGTGCTCTGGTGTAGTTTGCTCCTTCTTTTCTATCAAATTTCTATCGTTCTTATCATTCCATTTTCTTTCTTTGTGCTTGTAACTTTCTTGTAACAGCTCTAATCTTCAGCATTTATATGACCTTACTGTGTTGCAAGTGCTGGAAAACTCTTACTTTAAAAAAAACCCCACTGCGACCATGTCAGAGACACACTCTATATTGCTGGAGCCTGCCATGATCAGGGGCACGTTCCAGTGACCTCCGATCACAAAGCCATTTCAGTGATATTGCTCACAGTATTGGGAAATCTGTGTCCGCCTACTATTTGATGGTTTCTGCTTAGTGTTTAGGTTGGAATTTTCAGTACCTTGGTATGAGACTCTGGGATGTTAGCCATGCTTGGCGCATTACGACTTTTTCCCCCTTTTCGAACAGAGAAGCAATTTTGGCCCAGTATTGCTATATAAGTTTGTTGTTCAAGACTTTGGTGAGGCAGATGGTTACTGAGAGACTGTGATAGAAGGGCTTTTACCTGGTCTAATCGTGTGTATAGTTTTTAATTGTTTCGTCTCCTCTTCCCAGTGCTCTGTGATTACTATTTTGCCATTGTGTTGTTGTCCTCCATGTCGGATCAGAATTGAAATGTATATTTTGTATTGATTTTGTTGGGGGGGGGGGTTCACTTCAGCTTACAGAAATTTTCAAAGTAATTAGTTTTATTTCTTTATAATTTATTTTTCATGATTTTCAACTTTGTCATGCAAAAAGGAATTTTTTGCCAGGGGTTTCAGCAAGTCTAAAAATGAAAGATTACATTGTTAGATAAAGTGTTGTATCATAATGTTTGAATCATCGAAAAAAAAAACAACCTGACACTCTTTACTTTTATCAGTCTACAATACTTTAACTTTCTGTGCCTGTAATGAGTTCACATTTTACTGTCATTACATCGGGTATATGTGAAGTATTCCAATTACACGGAAGCAACAAGAACTTTTAGATAGTAGTTAAAAGTGTGTGGCAAAAAAATAAGTGACAGCTAATTCTTTTGCTGAGATGGAGGCTATTATTTTTCCCAAAACAGTTACAGTAGTGCCATTCCACAATACTTGAATGGACGACCAAAGTTCTTGAACTGTCAGTTTTTTTAATTTTTAGTCCCTAAATTCTTGTCGGAAAACTTTTGGAGTGGGTGTTCACTTATTCTGTTGTTTTTGGAGCAATATCCATGAAGAATTTTCAGTTTTGTTTTGAATCCTATTATTATTGATCCTGTTATGGGGATTTTTTTCAGTCAAATTTTTATTTTGCTCTTTACTTTTTTATGTTGTGTTACAGCACAACTGAAAGACCATATTTATTAATTTCTTTCAGAAATATGATTTACAATTGTTTGTATGACGCAGGGTTGGAGGGCACCACTGGAATGCCCTATCTCTTTGCCTTCCATCTGTGGTTTCTGTCTTTGAGTCATTTTAGCTCTTTCCTCACTCTAAATGGCGGTTATCATATCAATGTGCTTGTTTTTACTCATGTGCACATTCAAAAGTGTTCAGCATCACATATTGCTAGCTATATGAGCTGCATTCCGTTCTAATACACCGACACTGTTGATAGCGGCATAAGTGTAGCCACCTATTTTTAATTAGAGGTCGCATGTCTTGCCCAAGCACTTACCCCAGTGACCACCCAACCTCAAGCCATTGCACCGATAGAGTTTGATTTTTTTTGTACACGTGCATAATTTCATGCGGCCTTATTAACCATAAGGTCCTTCCTGTCTTTAATTAAGCCTTGCAAAGAGAGGTAACTGAAATGAGCTTGACGAAACGGAAAGAAAATATGAGGGAATGAGGTTTTCTTAGCGAGTTGTTCTTTAACACATTCATATTTTGCTATTTTATGGGGGGTTTTTTCTTTATTCCAGTTACCCTTCTGGGGGTTTTTTCTTTTTTGAAACTCCACAATATTACTTTGCCTCATATGACCAAAGTTTAAGTTTCAGAGTTATGTAGTTATTAACCTATGGTAGATTCGCTATTTCTTATATATACATATTTTGTTTATATTCTATTATTGCCTGCACGAGCGACCTAGTGTATTTATATCTGCCCTCACATCCCTGAACCGTTGCAGTTATCACATCCTGATCTGCTAACCTTGTTGCGTCCCAGCTGTAGATACAAAGTGACATATATAAATAGATTTTTTCTCTGCATTTCTTTGTTTTCACCTTAAGATTTTTCGATGTTTCCATTATCTTTGTTCCCTTCATGTGTGTTGTCTTTATTATTATATCTTTTTTTTTTTCCTTAATTATTTTTTGACTTGATTTTTCTTTACACTGAAAGGTCTGATATGTTTTCTGTGTATTTCATATTACTTATTTACACTAGCAAGCTTACAAACGAACAACAACAAAAATTGTTAATCACCAGAAGACCTGACAGTCAGAATTTCTTTGTTCTTATTGTTTCATTCTGTTTCTTGTAAACATTTTTATAATGGGCTTGTGTTTTGAATGGTCGGCAGGCATTCTAGTGTGGTTTGCTCCTACATCTTTTTCATTACTGGATTACTAATGTTAAATTCCTCTCCTTTTTTTCGTATGGTATTGGTTGAATGCTTTTTTTTTCCATCGCGGCAAGGTTATGTAGGAGGAAAGATCATCACTTATTATATTAACCTTTGTCTAAAAATTTGAGTTGCAATGATATCAATGAATTGGTGTATGTAGGTGATTGGGTGGTGCCACTGCTAGGTCTTCCTTCTTTTCTTTTCCTCTGTGGTTTCTATCTATCTTTACTTTTTCCCTGCAGTAAGTGACAAGTGTTATGTCTCTGTACTTCTCTTTACTCACCCGAACAAATGTTAGGCATCATGGTGAAATCAGGCGCTCTTCAAAATCATGAAATCGAAGAAATAGGCACTTTTCCTCCAGTTTGGCCACTTTTAGGAGCGAATTTGTGTTGTTTGGCTCATCACTTTATGACAACACATTTCCATATGAATTTTACTTTAAAAATTGTTGATTAAAGGCACAAAATATATAATTTTCCAGTTTGTAAGGACTCTCGAGCTATTGACTTTACTAGACTTTGGTGGCCATTTTCTCGCTAATTTTACCTGTGAAATCGAGTAACCCCCCTCCTTCTTCAATTGCAAATATCTCGACTTCTATTTCAGGCAGATGGGTAATTTTTTTCTTCGAAAGCAAGGCAAATGAACAGTCTTTAAGATGATACCAGTAACTTCACATGCCCAAAAATTGACAAGCGCCTGATTCCACTGCGTCATGACACAAATAATAATGATGATTGTAGTTATTACATTAGCATCACGTACTATACAGCGTCTCTCCAATTCAGACAATTTTACAAGTATGCCGTTGCTGGTTGCCCTCTGTACAACAGCTAGGGTTATAGTGTCTTTCACAAGGACATACATAAGTAACCATTCACCTAAAAGTAAAGACATGTCACTAATACTTGCTTCTTATTTTCTTGTGAGCCTGAGCTCTATAACCATTCATGCACTAGAGCATTTTCTCAAACAACCCTCTTCGGGTTGTTGATGGGTGCTCTAGTGTGGTTTGCTCCTTCCACCCTATCTAACATATTCTGTCACCCTTTTCTTTCCTTCTTTTCTTTGTACTTTACTCTTCTAGTAACACCTCTAATCTTTGGCATTTGTATGACCTAATTATGTTGCAAGTGCAGTAAAAATCTTACCAAAACATCCCTTTCACTGTGTTTGAAATGTATAAATCTTTTGATCAGAAATTCATCAAAGACCCATACACCACCACATTGGGAGGCTTCTCCAAAGTGACCAACTTCCTGCGGGATGTGCTCATGACCCCAGAGAATCAGATCGAGCGGCCGCAGTCCGAAGTCGCCGAACTGCTGCAAGATGACATCCCCGGCATGGAGATCTCGCAGATGGAGGACACTGGTTTTGAGGTTGTCACCAAGGTGAGTGACAGCACTTTCTTTGATGGCTACGCACAAGCAACTGGTCCGAGGAGTTGGAGGGGATTGGAGGGTACTAATCGTTGGTTTCCCATCTTCACTTTTTTTTTTTCTGTCTGTCTTCATCAGTATTGTCTTAGACTGTATGTCACCAGGGAGACTGAAATGGCAAGTTGTACTTAACTTGCAAAGGTTGTTTTTTTTTAATACAGCAAGCCTTTCATTTGAAGGGATGCAGGGTTGTAAAAATAAGCCTTTTTTTTTACTTTTTATTTCCAAATATCTTCAGGTGACTTTTGTTATGTCCGTGTGTTCCTCTTTTAACTTAATGGGCAAAGGGCTTGGATTGGTATTGTTTGCTCAAAAGAAAATGTCTCAGGATGGTGCTTTTCGAGAAATGTCTGTTAGATTTCAGTCATCATTATGGTCTTCATCTTGCATCATCTTAAGCTTCAACATCATCATCATTTGTAGCATTGAGGATGTAATCATTACCATTTATTTGTGTCTTTCATTTGCTTGTCTTAAGTTAATTTAACAGTACCTTTTCAGTGTCGAAAACATAATACCATTTTTAAGTACTAGTCTTGTTGTAACATGGTAACCTTTCATAAAGTTCGTTCCCTCCAATTTCAGTCACGTTCCTGTTTCATCTGTTTTCATTCCAGACCAAGTTGCCACCCAGACCATCTGTGAAAAGGTCGGATCCCCTAACAGCCATGCAGTGGAACGCTTTCTTTGACTCCGAGGGGCGAATTACGAAGGTGGAGGAGTTGAAAGACATCATTTTCAGAGGGGTAAGTTTCGGGTAAAGAGAGATGAGGTTACTATTGCTTTGAGCAATTTTTGGACTTATTATCTTGTTTTTTTCTTTGATAACTCAGTTTTTATCCATTTGGTTTTTTTTCTGCATTCTAGTTTCAAGTTGTAGATAAACAATAGCAGTTCCTTGACTTGTTTGAAGTGAAAGAAGTCATCCAGAAAAAGCTCCTTATATTTCACTTTGGGTTGTTGTTTTTTTTTTTTCTTCTTTCCATGATACTGAATCCCTGAAGTAGTGAAGGCTTATCTTACTCCTTGGCTTATTCTGGGGGATGTTACAGCTATGATGCTGACTCATCATAAGATTCATCGGAAATCTTTTTGAATATCCAGTCACTCTTTCCTAAAACAGTGAATGATGCATAGTCCATGCTGCACAGACACTAGTTTTCAATCTAAAGTTAGTGTCTAAAGAGCTTCTCTTGTGAGTGATTGGCAGGTGCTCTGGTGTGGTTTGCTTCTTCTTTCCTATCAAACGTCAGTTGTCCTTTTCTCCTCTTCTTTTTTATGTGTGTTACTCTCTTGTAACAGCTCTAATCTTCTGGCGCTCATATTACCTTATGCAGTTGCGAGCGCCGAAAAATCTCTACTAAAACTAAACTTAAAGCTTTTCTTGTTTTAATCCCATCTGAAAATTACTATGTTGTAATATGCTTAACCCTGTGAACCCAAGTGGCACCCTGAGGGCAATTACGCTCCACGCTAATATACCATGTAGCACCATGAGGGCGATAGCGCTCCATGCATGGGATTAGGCAGCCAGAGGGCGCCAGGTGCTGGGGCTTGGTTGCCACAAGGGGCCAGGATTCAGAGGGTTAATATGTTTGCACAGGCATTTTATACGCTTGAAAAAAATAGCAAAGTGAATTTAGTGTACATATTTGTAGATGTTTTTATTTATAACATAATAAATAAATAATTGAATTTATCCCTGTGAAAAAAAAAAACAACTACTAGAGTTTGTAAAAATGCACAGAGAAATAAAATGGCCATAGAACTCAGATGTAGTCCCTCTTGAAGAGGCCAGTGATATGACACTTACATGGGTTTTTTTCTGAAATGTATTTTTTTTTTAATTGCTTTTGACTTCTTCCATCTCAGGGTTTGGACCCTGCTATTCGTGGGGATGTTTGGAAATACCTCCTCAACTTCTATGACTGGGACTCAACGTCAAAGAAACGTCAGGACCAAAGGAAAAGGAAGGTGTAAGTGACCTACACTTCCCTCTCATGTTTGTTTTTCATTCCGTTTTTTTTTCTCATCATTGCACTGGGTGTTTGAAGGACGTGCTTTGTTAGTTAGGGTCTTCTTCTTTATTATCCCTCTGTTGCTTCTCACCATGTGTCTTGCGTTTTCTCTGTGGGACATTGATTTTTTTACATAGATGACCACTTTCATGTGGATGGGCTTTTCTTAACTCAAATTCGATATTACTTTAATGGGCCTTCTCTGTGTTAACAGAATCAGTTTTACCACAAGCTTGCATGGTGCCTTTTCTTTGTCAGGGGGAAGATGGTGGCTGAAATCATTTTAAATTTGTCTGTAAGTTTGTAAAAAAGATAACAGTAACACATAAGAAAGCAGAAAAAAAACCTGTTAGCAAGTCTTCAGTAAAGTTTTTTTCTTTAGCTGCCTATTCTGAAACAGACTTTGATGAAAATTGATATGGTTAATCTTTTGAAGTAATCTCGTAGAAAAGGTAGAGGGAGAGGGGGGGGGGGGGGGGGGCATTTTGCTGTTAATTGCACATTTAGTCTGTATGGACTGAACATTGAAAATAGACTCATCTTTTTAAGGATCATTTCAACATTTAGACAAAGTCTGAATTTTCTATGCCAGATAATATCTGTCTATATGTTTTATAGATATGTACCGGCTGGAATAATGTAATATGTGTTGACTTCAGATTTTAACCCAGTTTTTCCCACAGTTGCTTCTCTAGTGGATGTTACTTCTAGATTATGTATAGAAATGTTTGCTGATTAGAATACATTGTATGTTTCCTGCACAATGGGGCTTTTTTTTGTTACATTGATTTCATGCATCCCCGATAATAAGGTAGATGTGGATTTAATTTTGCCCTTTTTCTTTTCGCTGGCAGCGACGACTACTTCCGTATGAAGTTACAGTGGAAGACAATATCTGCGGAACAGGAGAGGCGCTTTTCTCTCTTGAAAGAAAGACGTGGTTTGATAGGTGAGCTGAAAAATAGTTATTACCGTCATGCCTCTGTTTAATTTGATATTAATGACCATACTATTCGTTCAAAAAGAAGTCTTAAAAATCTAGGGGTTCAGTTGGATTATGATGTGTCTATGTCCTCCCAAATTAGCCAGCTCAACAAAAGTATTTACTTTCAGCTTAAGAAAATTGGCAGTGTACGAAATTATTTAACTAAAGCAGCAGCCAAGACACTTGTAACAACAGTCATTTTATCAAATTTAGATTACTGTAATGCTATTTTGTCCGGTTTGACATCCGAAAAACTATCAAAGTTACAAGTACTCCAAAACCAAGCAGCAAAATTGATTATGAAACAAAAGAAATCAGCCCACGTAACACCAATTCTGAAAGAACTACACTGGCTGCCAATAAAAGAAAGGATTAAATACAAAACTGCCGTTCTTTGTTTTAAATGTATAAATGCAGCACCTTTTTATCTGAAAACATTCCTGGAATTATATCATCCAACTAGAGCCCTTAGATCAGCCTATGATAATCTAATTCTTAAAATTACAAAACAAAATTACAAAACATACGGCGAGCATTCCTTTTTATTCTTTGGTCCCCAGGTATGGAACGAACTCCCATATAAAATAAGATCTGCCCCAACAATTTCCATTTTCAAAAATCAGCTGAAGCATTTTTTATTCACAAAAGCATACCTGTCTTAATGATGTACTGTGATATATATATGCATGTGTACGCCAGACTGTGAGACTGAAGAAATAGCGTGTGAGAATGAGAGAGAGAAAAAGAGAGAGAGAGATAGGGAGAGAAAAGAGAGAGAGAAAGAGAGAGAGAGAGAGAGAGAGAATGGAAATGTTTTTCTATCTGTATAGAATTAATGTTTTAATGAATGTTTCTAGTTACTCCTGTTTCAACTTTATTGTGACCATTCGTGAATTTTTATTGCATTGGTTTTTTTTCGTGAACACATTTTCAACCTCACTGCGAGACTATTTTTCTCATATAAAATTGTACACATATGCATTTATATTATATGTATAATACGTTGTTTTATGTACGCACTTGTCGATTAATTTTTAAGACGTGATGTCTTTTTCGTTGTAATGCGCATTGAGCATCTTTTAGAAAATGGAAATGCGCAGTATAAATGCTATTTATTATTATTATTATTAATTTGTTGAGCTTTTGTTGTTCTCACTGCTACTGACTTTTTCTGGCACTCATGGGCATTATCTATGACGGGATGCGCAGTCATCGTGTTACGTAAAATGTAGACTAATGCACCACTTACACTATCATCTCTACGGAATAGTGCCTACAGGATTCTCTCTACAAAGAGAAAGATCTTGTTAGTATTTTAGTGTTTTAGTGCCCATATGGCAGCTTGCACTGTATGCTTCCCAAGAAATTGAGATTGTTTCAAAATGCTATCATGTCTGCTGGGGTAATAGTAAAGATTGTACAGCGCATAGAGCTTGCTGTTGAGCGGCAATTTTGCGCTATACAATCGCTATTATTAATGTTATTACAATCTTTGAAGATTTATTTATTGACAACTCTTTTATATAAACTTGCTTGTTTCTCTGGGCGAAAAAAAACCAACCTATCTCGTTTAGTTGTCCCTATAGAAATTTTTCTTTATATTAAAGGTGCACATGTTAACCCCAGACACAGACATCTAAAATAATGAACAAGATAGGGTGTTCTGCTGTCAGTGTAATAAATACCATTGCTGGTCCCTGCGTTACATCTTGTGGGTTGTTGTAGGGTGCCAGTGGTCAGACCCAGGCCTTGTGTCTTCCCTCCAATACTTATGTCTTCTCCCTTGTTATTTTCTCCCCGTGAGTGGTTGCCAGGTGCTCTAGTGTGGTTTGCTTCTTCTTTCCTATCAAACATCTATCGTCTTTATCTCCCCTCCTTCTTTTTTGTGTTTGTTACTCTCTTGTAACACCTCTAATCTTCAGTACTTACATGACCTTATTGTGTTGCACACACTAAAACTAAAAAAATGTTCTACCTAGCCCCAGGTGACTAGTACTTTGGTGGTTTGTTTCTTTTTAAGTCAGATGAAGCAGAGCTCCTCACTGTTCTGGGTTTGGGTTAACAAACATAGTTTTAACTGGTGATTAGGTGTAAATTGTTGTTAATATGTTTTTAGAAACAAACAAACAGACCCCTATGTATCCTCCTGATTAGGTGTAAATTGTTGTTAGGTATGTTTTTAGAAACAAACAAGCGAACGAACAAACAAAGCTAAATGTATCTTCCTCAGACAAAGATGTGATGCGGACTGATCGGACACAGAAGTTCTTCAGTGGAGACAAAAATCCCAACCTCCAAGTCCTCTATGACATTCTTTTGACATACTGCATGTACAATTTTGATTTGGGTAAGCTTTGACTTTGGTTTGTACGTCTCTTCAGCTTAACTCTTTAAACCCCATCGGACGCTTAGAGCGTCAGGCGGTAATTTCCCTGTTCCCCTTCGGTCTAGTAACAACTGTTTCTTTTCGTTAAGTGCTAGTTTTTACTTGTTTTTCAGAATTATTCTCAATCCAAGTTTGTTTGTTTTTGTAAATAACTAAGCCTTTGTTTCTGTAATTGAGAAGTTGGAGGCAAGTGTTTGAGGTTATAGTGAGACATAGTGCACCAGGTTTAGGTGACTAGAAAAAACTCCTGGAAAAGGTGGGGAAAAAACTCAAGGTTTATAGAGTTAAGAATGGCAGCAAATGGTTTACCTTGTGTTTATCATGAGCATAAATGAACAGATGTCTCTGGTACTGTGCTCATTTCACAAGACAAGGGGAGAGGGGACAAATTTTACTTAACCACAAGGGCAGTTTTTCTTTCAGCTGCTAACGACTAATATTAAAGATGAGCATACTTTTATCAGAAATATGATATGATGTAGATATACATGTACTTTGTTCTCTTCGATTTTTACAAATGTATTTTAAGATAATCTCCAATAGAATAAAGAACTAGTCTGTCAAGGTGCGGCAAGACTACGTGAAGATTGCCTTTTGAATGTACTGCTCTTGAAGTGTGTTAAACTCAAACAAAACAATGTTTCTATTTTTGCTGCTTTCATCAAGAGTTTTTGTGATCCTGTCATTAAAACATTGAATGGGAAATTGAGCCCTCAACTAATTTTTCAAAACAATTTTTAAAGTTTTCAACAATAATACCTAGATCGCTTTTTTTGCGTCTTGGATACTAGATTTATAGTTTAAAATCTTTTCTTGTTTTGCCAACCCTTTCAAGTTTTTAAAAAACTGTTTTGTCTGATTCATTACCTGTCAAAGCAGACCCCTGCCATGATTTCTTTCACTCTAGAAGGTTACAACATTGTAGAATTACCCCTCCTGTCATTACTGTGGTGAAAGGGGGAACATTGAACAAGCCCCAAATCTATCAAAACCTTATCATGTCTGTGTTTTCTCCACCCCCCGGGGCGGTGCTACTGACTGAAGTGTCTTTAGGCCATTCCCAAAGGGGGGACATTGACCATGTTCCTATGCACCGTAGAATTGTAATTGTAAGTTTGCTGATTCATCAATGTCATGCTCATAACTGCCTGAACTGCAACAGGGAACTGCTGCTTTTGCTTTCCTTATCCTTACGATCGTCATTTTCCTCTACTTCTTTTGTATGTTTGTCACAATCTTGTGACCCGCTATTTCCGGGGTCCCTTGATAGTCGAAGCAGATTTTGTGCTGTTGAAGCTGTAGAGGTGAGCATAGTAAGCCTAATTCCCTGTAAGGACTTCTCTGTTGACATCCACCCCTTGGTGCTCATATGACTCATGCAGTTGCGAGCGTCGTAAAACCTTATTAAAACTACTTTTTTTAAAACTGTGTTTTCTCTTTTTATAGGTTACGTACAAGGCATGAGTGACATTCTGTCCCCTATCCTAGTTGTGATGGAGAATGAGGTGGATGCCTTCTGGTGTTTTGCAGGGGCCATGGAGAGAGTGGTGAGTGAGGATGACATGGGGGGGGGGGGGGGACTTATTTCATTCCGTTTGTCGTCCCTCCCTTTGTGACTATTTTTCTTAATCCAGTAATTTATTGAGCTTTTTATTGTGAATGTTGAACATTAAGTGTTGATTGAGAACCCTTTTCAAACTAAAAGGTTATGAAAGGATGTACAAAATATCAAATGATTGTACATTATTTACAGCCCCTTTGATTAAACTTAGATCATTTAAGAGGTGGGATGCTTAAACCCTGTCTGCCTGTCAGGGCCAGCCCAGGTTGAGAGGAATACAGCAGATAGACTGAGGTACTCGATTATAATAATTTCCCTCTTGGGAATTGAACTCATGCCTTCTGCAGGAAACAGCGACGAGCCCCACCACTACACCGCAGGAGCTGGTCAGAAATTATATCGTTTTCATTGTGAACGTTCTTTTCTGCAATATTTTGTTCTAACTATAAGGTATGATTTAGATGTTTGGACTATATTATTTATAGTGAGCAGTTTGAAGTTAGCCTAAAAAAATGGTAGGAAAATGAGAACACAACAAAATTATAGATTGCAATGCCTAAACCTGAAAGGTGTTATTTTAAATACGTTTTTATCAATCTTTTCTCTGCAGTGCCACAATTTTGAGATGGACCAGAATGGTATGAAAGTTCAGCTGTCCCAGATTCACAAGCTTATGCAGGTTTATGACCCAGAACTGTGTGCCTATCTAGGTAAAATACCCCTGACAATATTGTTTTCTTTGTTGGTGCTTTTTAAATCTGTTTGTATATATTGTCTGATCAAGTATTTAAAAATATGGAATTTTACCAAAATCTCTACTGGTTTGTGTTTTTGAAGTACAATTTATGACGACCATTATTTTCATTCTTCTTTTAAATGGGTTGAAGAGATGTTGAACCCATTTCTTGTTGGTCAAACAGTGCTGATATAGTTAAACTAAATACGATATATAGATATAACAGTTGAACATCATCTAATGACCACCTGCATAAGACAATCACCTTCGCATTCCCCCTTTGCGGTTTTTTTTTTGACAATATAATTTCACTGCGTGAGGCTACCCCCCTGTCTTGGACTTCCACTTTTCTCCTTGACCATGGGTATCTGTTGTTGTTGTTAGCGATCCAGAACCATGGGTATCTATCTTAAACAAATTTGGCTGTATTTGCCTGTTGCATGGTCTGTAACTTTGACCCAGCAAATCCTATTGGGGGCTTTGAAAACAACACTTTCCTCACAAATTGGAAGCATTTTCAGGATGGCATAACTGTTGAAATTCAGAGGTCAATTGAATGTGAAATGTAAACAGTCCTTATTGTAAAACCAGGGGGGAAATATGCCTTCTTAAAGCATTTTCATGCTAAGCTTCTAGATGTAAGGTGCTTCCAGAATATCACCCTACACACCATAATGATGTTCCTCCAATCAGCAGTTTGAGCTAATTGGCCATAAAGTTTAAAGACCCAAAGAGATCTTTTTTTATCCTAATTTTATATAGGGGGGCTTTGGTGGGGTCCTAGGAAAAATTACTTTTGTGATCTTTTTTTTGCATCCTATTTCCTAACTTTTTAAAAATGCTTTCATTTCATTCCAGAGAGCCATGATTCTGGGAACTTCTACTTCTGTTTCCGATGGATCTTGATTATGTTCAAAAGAGAATTTCACTTTCATGAGATTCAAAGGTTGTGGGAGGTACGGTATCGTCTCATTATTTTAGTGTCATATGCAAATCATGATAATTCGTTTTGAATGGTTAGTTAAGTGTGTGACTGTTGTTCTAGACACAATTATCTGTGATAGAGGGACCTTTCTTAGCTGTTTCTTCCAAATTCTAAGTCTTAGGTTGATCGAAGGCATTTGCATAATTTTAAATTTTAAAAATCTGCTTTCGTCTCCACTTTCTGCCCCCGCCCCCTCACCTCCTTTGCCCCCTCCTCTGGGCTCCCGACTCTTTCTGCAGCCTTTCCACTGCTACTCCTTGGCTCCCTCTTGCTGCTGTCTTTGAGCCACTCCCCTGATCTTCTGGTAGGAAAGATCTACACCTAGCCTTTTCGGACAAGGGCGAAAAATCTCAAAGATCACGTGCAAGTTGCACACGTTTAAGATCCCTTGGTGGTCTAAGATCGAAAGAGTAGGCTTCGCCCGCCACCCGGACAAAATTCAAAATTTCCTACCGACTGAAAATGTTTAACGTGTCCTGTGTGCTCATATGACTTTATGTAGTTGTGAGCGCTGTAAAACACTTGCCAATGAAAAAAAATTACTTGTAAGGATGTTTGAAACTTGTTCTGAATGGAACAGTTTAATCCGTTTTTCTCTCTCTCTCTTTATAAGGATCTTCTACTTATTGCCTAGTATGGTAATTTTTGTCTTTTGTTTTTGTCCGTGGGTGGTTGGCAGGTGCTCTGGTGTGGTTTGCTTCTTCTTTCCTATCGAATATCTATCATGTTTGTCTCCCCTCCTCTTTTTTATGTTTGTTACTCCCTTGTAACACCTCTAATCTTCTGGCGCTCATATGACCTTATGCAGTTGCGAGCGCCGCAAAAACCTCTACTAAAACTAAAACATGTGTTTGTCCCCACAGGTGATCTGGACAGACAGGCCGTGCACTAACTTCCACCTCATCATCTCTTTAGCTATTCTTGACACAGAAAAATCTACCTTGATGGAGAACAAATTTGGCTTCACTGAAATTCTGAAGGTAAAGGCAGTGTTTTTTTCTTTTCGATAAAGAGTTGCAGTTCCTGTTTGGAAAGAGGGGAAAGTTGTTGTTGTTGTTGCTTTCAAATCCCTTTAGCTGCGAGCATTTCGCTCTTGGCAGCACAATGCCTCCCTCAAGTAACCACAAAGAGGGGAAGGAGAATGCGCAACTTCTTTTGACATATCATCAACAATTCAACAATATAATGATCTGCAGATGGTTGATAAGCACTCTAGAGTGGTCTGCTGCTCCAATTTCTCCAAAGATTGTTTCAGTATATTAATGTGTGCCTTTCTTTACTCCATCTAAAACTTGTGACTTGATGGGTAGTTGGAGGGTGCCACTTGGAGGTCTTACTTCTTCCGTTTTCCTTTGTTTTTTCTGTCATTATATTTTGACATTACTCAACACTAAATGTTATCTAGTTGGTGTGTTTCCCTTTATCCCCCCCCCCCCCCAAAAAAAAGAAGGATGTTCAGGGCTTATTTATCAAGTACTTAGTTGTCATGCTGTGAACTATATTATACTGAGGAAGGTCAATGTAATGATTCATGTCTGGTCTCCCCCCCCCCCCCCCTTGCAGCACATCAATGACATCAGCTTGTCCATCCCGCTGGAGGAGACACTTTGCAAAGCCGAGGGCATCTTCCTGCAGCTGAAAGAGTTCAAGAAGCTGCCGGCCCCTGTGAAGGAGATCCTGGGTCTTCTCCCCTTGCCCATGTCGGTGTCCATGGAGAACAGTATCTTCATGTCCGCCAGCAGTCACCAGGACATCAAGCCGGAGAATGGGGGTCAGCGAGTGGACACTCCGCAGCTTTTGGCAACTGGAGGAGGTGGTGGTGGTGGTGGTGGGGCTACTGCTGGCGCGGGGGGACTGTCACACTCGGGCAGCGGGACACAGCTCAGCAGCTCAAACTCAGGTCGTTCGTTGGTCAACTCCAATATGGATTCTAGTTTAGAGATTCTGGATGACGATGCTAAGATATTTACGTAGTCCTGCTTCTTTGATCTAAATGTTGTTGGGGTTTTTTTTCTCATGTATGTTTTTTTTTATGACAGAAATGAAAAGTAGATTACCCGCCCCCTATCTTCCTTCACAGTCACGGACTGTTCTAAAGATGTCATTGCCTTTAGGGTTAGAATAGAGAGGAATGTTGAGATATGCTTGAAAATGGATACACAGGAGAGGGGGAATGATCCTCCTTATTTTTCTATTGGCTTCCTTTTTTTCTGTGATTTTTTTTTCCCCCACAGTGTTATGGGACTGGTATATTTTTTCCGGAAGTTTATGGAATTTCTTTGATGTCTTGGCGCTCTAGTTTATTCACTTTTATTCTATGGATAACGAACATTTTCAATACGTATAAATTGACAACAGAGTGAAACAACAGATTCACAATGGTGCCAGTTTTTTTCTGTCTCTCAGAAAATAGTGATATAGCAAATTTTAGTGACTTGCCTGTGCATTGGGAATTTCACATCCAACTGGCAAATACTTTTCCTCAGAAAACTGCTTTTTCAATGCTGTATTAAAATTAGCTCTTGTGTGTATTAAAAACTAGTCTCGGAGTGGCATTTCGTAACTGTATAAAGTATCTTATAATTGTAAACAAAAAGTCAATTTCATTCCGTCAATTTTGTGTCAATTATAACGGCTTGTGAACAGTCTGATTGTATCCTGCTGCCTGTGTAGGGCGCTAGGCTTTCAGTTTTTCAGTTTGTTTCTTTGCTGAGCTCATATGGTAATGTTTCCTAAGGAAGGGCACTTTGTCCATTGTTCCTCTGTTCCCTTAACCACTGGAAGAGAATGACATATTATATGAATGATAACGGGTCAGGGCATAATATTTTGCCAATCTGTATGTCCTTCTGGGAACAGAGGTGGTACTGCAAAGTGCAGCGTCCACAACTACCAATTGAATTACTGAGCTATTTCGACCTTTGAAGGAGATACAAGGTGATGGATGACTGAGAAATCAAATGGATTGCTGATTTTGAAAATGTTTACTTTTGTTCCTCCAACTACTGCATGTGATACAAGATATTGAGACCCTGTTTTTGACTTGCTACCCAATCATATATATTATATATATATATATATATATATACATAAAACGTTTGTGGTGAATTGTCTGAGGTAATGTGACGATGGGCTTCTGAAAACTCAGGAGTTTGATGTCCTGTGTTTATCATATTATTCTCAAGAATGTTGGGACTTGGTAATGTGTGACTGGTGTTCGTGTGTAAGCTCTCTGGCTTTGGGCAGACTCTCACAAACAAAGGCACAAAGGGAAGTAAACTGTGCGGCTTTTTCTTTGATTTCTTTCTTGTTGGTGGCGTTGTTTTGGGAGATTTGTTTTCACACTGCTGAGAAACGTATACACAAATGAAATAGTCGTTGTTCTACTTCTCTCACAGCCCGTTGTGTTGCACAGGTTTTTAACTTTGGACAGGAAAAGTCACACGTAAATATGTATGGAAGGAGTTTATAGCTTATCATTTTTTTAAAAGGAGTCATTTTATACTGCCTTTGAGCTGGAGAGGGTATTTGCGCTCCAGAGATAAATGCGGACTGGTTAATAGATCTAGTGTCTAGTGACTGAAAAGTCATTCTTTCGCAAAGGTGCAGACGTGTTGTGATTAATAACTTTTTTATTGTGATCCCTTATGGCCATTGTTTAAGTACGTATTTGTTGATTCCTTATACTTTTTTTTTGCCTGTGTGATGACATCAGATTGCATGATTTTGTTTTGTTTTGCTTTTTGCTTCTGAAGTTTTTCTTCTTATGTTAAGTTTGGCAAACTATTTTGTGCAGAGTATTGCTAGTATGAGGAAACAAGGATTTCAATGTCTTAGTAAAGGAATTAGAATTTTTTCAGTCACTGCAAAACATGATTTGTTTTTCATTCCTGTGTTGATGTTATTACACATTTATTTTGTTGTCATCATTACAATGTGGGGGTGAGGGATGGAATGTTAACTGTTGTTACTTGCCGTAGTTACTTTTATAGAAAGATATGTGAGATAAAAAAAATGTTAGGAGTTATTTTATTATTTTTGTCACTATTTTTAAAATCCAAATGCATCGTTATTAAATCTTCCTGCTTTAAAAGAAAGATTCTGCTTTGCACTATCATATTATCTGGACACTTTCACTTTCTCACCTGTGGCAACTTGCCCTCATGTGAACTAGATATTCCATTTGCGCTGCCCTTTTGTCATTGCAGTGACATCGGTAGATACTGAGTTTGTATTATGATGTCAGTTCCCACAGATATTTAGATAATGGAAGAACTTGTTTCCAGGATGTGTCAAAAATGTTACATATACTGACACTGACATACACTTTAGTGAGCTCTGAAATTTTAACTAGTGATATAGATAAAGGTCATTTGAAGGCTTAGATATGATTAAAAAGATTGGGGGGGATGGATGGCAGGGGAAATCGAGTGTTGGCCTAACATGGCACTTTTGGGGGGGGGGGGGGGGGGAGAAGAAATGTTATTTCTTTCTAAAAAGAACCTAGTCATGTATTGATGGTATTCTGCAAGCAGTGATAAGCTATCTTTCTCTTTCCTTCTTCTTTGCTGTGTTTTAAATAAAAATGTTCCCCTGAGTGGACTGTGGAACGAGAGAGAAAATTTCTTGAAGGATCAGTAAAGGCTTCTCTGGCATGTATTATTTACTTATTAAGTGTTATTATGCGTGGGAGAGGGTTTTTGTTAAAAGTTGGAGTTTTGTGGTCTGTATAGTGAATCACTGTACTTACATCTGAAAGTAAGGTCAACATTGGTCCTCGCTTCTGAATATGCTTTTGTTGAGCTCGCTGTGACTGTGAAGTCAACTCAGATTTATATTACTCTATCCTTACTTATATGTCTTGAGTAGTCGAGATCTTTATATCAGTATCAGATGAATCTGGAAATCCGGATTCCTGATATGATTCTGATTTTTTCCCCCACTTCAGTGTGACCATTGAGAAGTTTTTGCACTTTATATATATAAAGTGTTGACAAAAGATGTATAAGACAAAATGAAGTTTAGACATTTGTGTCCATGAGGTCCAGAAAGTTCCTCTTTGTTGATTTTTTTTGTAGCCAGTTGACAGTTCACACTTCTGATGGTTTCTTTGAAATCTATGTCCCATGTCTCTTATTCATTTTAACTCTTTATCTCCGAGGGGGGTAAACCCACTACGCCGGGGCCCTTTTTTGGTGCTAAATCTAAAAATGACAAGAACATCATGAAATGGGTCATTAAATCGAAACTAGCAAACCCATTGTGATAGTTCTTCATCTAATGAATGAACTTTCGGTATAAAAGACCTATTTTCGGCAAGTGCGGAAAAGTAATTCAATGTCAAAGTCAACGTAAAGGAATGTGCCCGACCGCTGTCAGCGGCTCATCGGCACAGGGGTTCCGACCGCGAGCTTCTGGGAGCGGTTTGCCGGAGATAAAGAGTTAAGTAAGCTTTACACTACTTGTCGGTAGATCTTTAATTTGTAAGGAAAAAAAAAAGAAATGTCCATCGGGGGTTGCCATTAATGCAGGGACTGTGCAGTGGTAGAGGCACTGAAGAAATATGTAGAAAGAGTGAACCAAATTAGTGGGCTTTACCCCACTGACCGAGATAAGATAAGATAAAACAATACTTTATTGTTCCAGAGAGAAATTGTTCTTGGCTGTTCATGACCGTAAAAACATGTGCAGGTAAACTTAAAAATTACGCTATATATTACACTCATTAAAATTCAATATGAAAAGAAAAGTAAAGCGGACAAAATGTACATATCACATCAGATGCATCATTCAGCCACATGCTAGAATTGAATTACAAGACCTTTAGAGTTACATAATGCAGGGATGCACAGAACACAGCAATAGACTAAAAGATGATCATGGATGGCCTCAGAGGATCAAGGTTCTGACAAACATCAAATCATTGGATCTTCATTTGATAACACTAGGGATAATAACATCTGTGGTGTAGTGGTACAGCTTTTCGTCCTTGCATCATGTAGAAGATGTAAGTTTGATTCCAGCTTGAGGAAGTTTTTTTTTTGGGGGGGGAAAGTTTGTTTGTTTGTTTGCCTTTGTTTCGTCTAGTATCTCGGACTTGCTGCTGGGATGTTGTTTATCCCATTCAGCCCTGATTGGCCCTGACAGGCAGGGTGGAGGAAGGACACCTTATAAATGGTCTCTCTCTCTCTCTCTCTTGCCCTTTTAAACTCCCAGTGGAGCATAGGCCATCAACAGCATTTCTCGTGAGTGGTCTGAATACTCTGAATTGTGTTGATGGGAATCATGGAAAATTCCCAGTTATTTACTACCATATGCTTTGACAACTTATTTTCTACTCTAGGAAACAAGCAATTGTTTCATGCATATTGCAGTATATATATTTTGCAATAATCATATCATGCTCTTAGGCTCCTTCTGATAATAGTTCTATTCACAAAGAGTTGGTACCAGTAACCATCTCGCAGAAGCCACTGCAAGAAGCTTCATTCCCTTTGCCACTCAGTGTGTATGGCTTCATGTGTGAGAGGGAAGTGTTAATGTATTTGCCAGCAACAGTCAAAATTCTGGCAAGTAGATAATAAATTCACTCACAGGAGAGTTGTGACACCTCTTTGTAGGTCTCCAATTATGATATTAACCTAAATGCTGCGGATCTATTTTGTCATGGACTCCTTGTTGTTAAATGTTATTGCTTTTTTTTACGTTAGCTATTCGTTTGACCTTTAGGAGTGTTTGTTTTTCACCCCCCACCCCTTTTCATCTAAATGTTTCTGCTACTTTTACCTTGGTTCCCCTCTGTAGGACACTCAACAAGATCTGCCTAGACACCAGGGCAATATTCATCTCTTCTTACTTTCATGAGCAAAAATCCTCTCTTGGCATGTATATATATATATATGGCCTAATAGTGTTGCAAGTACCATTAAACTCGAACTAAAACTGATTTTAACCCTTTCTTTTATGAACAGGCACAGCAAGGAAAGCGCTTGTGGGACGCGCTACAATAGTTCGTGCTTTGTGATTTTTGTTGTTTTTTTTGGTTAGTCTATTTGTCGCTGCATGCATGCACAAGATGTGAGTTCAATTTCAGCTTGGGGAAAGTTTTTTTGTAGAGTGGCTCCATCCGTCTGTTGGGACAGGCAGGGTTGAAGCAACCCACCTCCTACAGAATTGAAATTTTGTTGATTGGGATGTAAAGCAATTAGTTACAGAATTTTGTGCTTGTCTTGATTTACTTTATGCTTTATGGGCACTAACACAATTTTGTCAGTGGTAGGGGTAGAGTGTACAGCACTTAGACATTTCTGTCAGTGGTAGGCGTAGAGCGTACAGACATTGTTCTTATAAGGTGTTGGTTACACTACTGATACTTTGATGACTGGGTCTGAAATAAGGTGAAACATGTCGGTCTATTTACATAATATATAATTACATATAGATCATTAACTATTCCACCGCTTATTTTTTTCCCTCTCACTTTGTAACCCAACGTATTTTACCCTTCTTCTGCGCTGCGGGCTTTCTTTCGCAAGTGGACAACTATGGTTCGCTTGGGTTGTAGTGTATTAATTTGATGGCTGTAACACTTCCAGGTTGTGGTGTCAGTCTGCAAAAGATTGTTTATGTAAGTTGGAAGTCTTGGGATATATTATTATTGGTTCTGTGTATTTATTTGAGCCATTTTGGGTGTTCATTTGTTAGTGTAATTTGCACATGTAACTATTTTATGTCGTGATAGTAGTTGTGGTCGTTTTATTTATTTGAGATTTGTTATCCAAGTTCGAAAATCAATTTGATCAGTTTTCTGATTCCAAGTTGTCAAATAGTTTGTTTTGTCATTAAGGATATATATTATACATGTTATTTTTGTTTGATATTATTTTAATTGAGCTTAATCAAGTTATGTTTTAGGAGAAGTGCATCTTGGGATATATTTGTGTTCTCTTTCTTCGTGAAGACTCCAAATGAGTAAAAAGTAGTAATTTAATGCCTTTCTGAATTTCTGTTTGTTGTTCAGCCGTGAACACGAAAAGATAGACATGTTACAGGATCTTGAGAAAAAAAGCCCTTTGAACTGTGGTTTTATTACCGGTATTCTTGGGACTTTTTGTTTGTTTTTTGTTTTGGTAAGTGTTTTACGCCGCTCGCAAGTACGTAAGGTCATATGAGCGTGTGGGACACACCTAACATTTCTGTTGGTAGGAAATTTTGAATTTTGCCCCGGTGGTGGCGTAAGCCTATTCTTATTGATTTTGGACCACCGAGGGATCTTTAATGTGCGCAACTTGCACACGGAACCTCCGAGATTTTCCGCCCTTGTCCGAGAATGCTAGATATAGATCTTTCCTGCCAAAAGATCAAGGGTGTGGCTGAAAGACAGCAGTAAGAAGGAGCCAAGGAGTAGCAGTGGAAAGACTGCAGAAAGAGTCAGGAGCTCAGAGGAGGGGCAAAGGAGGTGAAGGGGTAGCGGCAGAAAGTGGAGACGAAAGCAGACGACAGAATATTGCTAGAGAGCAGGAAAGGAGGAGAAAGTAGACAATTTTAGAGAAGAAAATTTTTCTGTCGCTTCCCGGATTCGAAGCCAGGACTTTTCAATGAGAGGCGAACACCTTAATCTCTATGCCTCGAGAGCCCCCTATTCTTGAGGCTAATGTGTCTAGAATCTACCATGGTACTTAGTGTGTTTTGAATTATTCTCTGTTCTCCAATTGATGGCATTGGTATGAAAAAAAAATGTTGCTATTATTGCAGGAAAATTGTGCCAAAATATATGTTTGGTTTGGTCTATGAACAATGTCTGGTTTGAGAAGCCTGAGGTCTGACTGCTCTAGGGCTATGAAGCTGAAGCCATTTCAAAGGGTCATAGAATTACTTTGAGGAATTTCACCTTTTTTCGTCTTTTATATTTTTCAAGTAGCAAGAGATACTTCCAGTTTCCATGGGTATAAGGGCTGACAGTACCCTCACGGAGGCCTTTCAAAATCAGCTGGAGTGTCCTTAGATTATGAAATGGACTGCTGGCATGGCAGATTAGACAAGACAGGGGAAAATTCCACTGTCATCTTTGGGGCATGTCATAGACGTTTTAGTTTCTGCCTCAGTAACCCCTTCATCATTTACCGCTTGCTATTTTACACGAAACAAGTTGGGTGGCTGTTTAACCCTCTTAATAAATACATGTTAAGATCAGTAGGCGAGTTTTTAACATATGAAGTGGGTGCTACTGTTCACACTTTTCCTTGCACTTGCTGCCACGATTTTTTGGCATGCATTGACCTAATCAGCCACATGCCCCATTTTCAATTGCCAGTATACTATTATACATTACAGGGTCGGTTTTAACTTCTTTTCAAAACAAGTTAAGCATGAAGAGAAGCGCATTGGCACAT